AGGTGGTCTGGAATTCAAACAACTTTATGTTTACAGAATCATACAGCTGGGGTGCCAAGTGATGGGATTAAAATCATACAGGATCCTCAACGCTAAACTCTATATAAGTCAGAGAAAAACAAACTCTTTACAGCCGGGTAATAGGAAAATCTGCTCAAAGTAATAGTGTTTCTGCCCTGTAGTGCTTAGTCATTTGATCCTATTGCTCACAGATGGCCTGTTAAAAGAACTTCAGCCCTGGCTGGTGTGGCTCAATTGGTTGGGGCATTGTCCCATAAAGGGTTGCAGGTTTGATTCCAGGTCAGGGCACATACCTAGGTTTCTGTTCGACCCGGGCATGTACAGGAGGCAACTAATTGGTGTTTCCCTCTTACATCAATGTTTCTCTCTCTCTCTTTCTCTCTCTCTCTTTCTCTCTAAAAATCAATAAACACATCCTCTGGTGAGGATTTAAAAAAATAAAAAAAGAACTTCAGAAATGGGTGGCCCCATGAACTAGGTGAATTTGACAACTGTCAGCATTTAGAAAGTCTGAGCATTTTCTGTCTAGCTAGACCTTTTTAAGAACATTGCTCTAACTAAATTTGCAAGTAATTATGCACTTCTCTGTTAAATAAACTAAGAATGTCTGGTTACAAAAAAAATTACTGACAGCTTGTAACCAACTTCGATACTGATTTTCTGACCCATCTTGGAACACAAGCAGCGAATTTGTAGTTAAGGACAATAAAAGGGAAGACCACAGAGTTCTGAGCCCAGATGAGAAGAGGACAAGAACCCTAGCTCTTGACCTTCTTCAGTACCAAATGCTTATTTGCGGTATATTTGCAGTCAGCATGCATTGGTAGCTCAGTCTTTCAAAGACGATTTAATTAAGCCCAACAGCCTGAAGATGAAGTTTGAGAATGGCAAGTGGGAAAGTCTAAGAAGAAGGTCTTTTACAGCCTTCCATTCTTCTATGAATACTAGTCAATCAGAACCAAAGATTTTAGAAATGAAAGTGACCTAGAGATCTTTAGGTTCAGCTTCGTCATGGCTCTAGATGAGGAACCTGCTGTCTTGAGGGCCCAGTGACTCTTCCAAGACCCAAGTCACCTTCGGTATCAGGGTCTTGGGAACTTCCCCGGAGGCTTAGTTCACCCATCTGCTCCGACGAGGGACTGGCATCAGTAAAGCACTTCTCAGTGACCTGGGGTCTCTTCTCTGTGCCAGGCACTGGAGACACGAAGGACACTTGCATGTGCCCAGGTCCAGGGAAACTTCGTGTAGCCACTGGCAGCACAGGAGCGTTGACACACCATTAGGAAAAACAACCAGCGCATGTTGTGAGCTCCCTGCTTAGGATGCCTGAGCCATGGACTGAGGTAGGAAAGGGGCATAGAGATGACATGCTGACACTCTAGCCATCTGATCTTCCTCTTTGGGAATAGAAAGGATGAGAAAAGAGAAAAACAACAGGACTAGATTATATAAAGGACATGAGGTTTACCTCACATACAACAGAGTTCCAGAAAGTATTTTTTGTTGTTGTTATGGGAATTTGAATGACAAATATAATATTCCAATAAAAATGCATAGTCCCCAAAATGAGAAGTAATAATTTCCTCACTGTGGCCGTTATGGTCCTGAAAGTTTTATCATGGCACATGGTTTTCTTTATTCTGAGAGTCAAAAACAGACTCCATTCTGGCTGTACATTAGCCTCATCTGGGAAGCTTTCAAAACAGAAAAAAAGAAAGAGAATACATAGGCATGGGCCCCACCATAGGTCAATACAATCAGAATTTCTAGGGAGAGAGCATCTACAACACTATATATAAACATTGCCCCGATGATCTGCAGCCAGAGCAAAGAACCACTGGTCTAAAGTCACAAAACAGCCACCTCGGCAGAAAGCGCACTCTCTCATGAGTTTAAGTCACAATAGGGGTTTATGCAAGCTGCAAACTGTGTGCATGTGCAGCGTGTAGGAGTGGATGGGCACGCTGGCCATAAAGACAATGTTTCATACTGACCTTTCGGTACATACAATGCAGTGTTCTGCTTTCAGATGTTTACCACTTGCATTCTCAACCACAGCTGCATTGCCACATAAATCCCTCTTTGCCCCAAACACACCAGGTATCTTGAGGGAATAGAGGAAAGTGTTCATACCTATGCCTATGTTTAATTATGAGGCCGTGTGTCAATGTTGTTATACACCAAATTGTAATTGTAGAGGTAAGATTTGAGAAGTTACACAGACAAGGAAGGGATTTTAATACACAACTATTACAAAATAACCTCCTGTGACCCAGTCCTTACCTAGAATCTCTTTTCCCATGTAAATTAACACTTTAAACAAGGGTATGCCCCTTCCTCCCTTTTCCTTGTCTGAATGGTGATTGTGTCTGAGCAGTATTTTTCTTGTAAGTCTCATAATAACCTGGCAATAACCATAAGCAGTTGTCATTCCATGCTCCCTTCCAACTCTTCTAACAAATCATTCAGACAAAACAGTCCTGCCCCAGCCCCAGCTGGGGGTTTCTCTCCATCCCTTATCTCCTTCCTTTTGCTCTTTCCAGCATCTCTACATCCCTCATAAGATCAAATCAGGAACCCATTTTTAATGTCGAACCAATAGCAAATACTAGTAAAGTAGAGAATCTTGTATATTATACTTCTTTTGATCACATTGTCCTTTTGATTCCATTCATTAAGACTTCCTTTAAAATATCATTAACTTCTTTAAATGTTTAATGGTCAGGAACAATCAATAGACTTAGTTTGGGTTCCCTATTGCCCAAGGGGTATGAAGTATGGTGAATTCATTTAAGGATGAATTTAAAATAGTGATTTTCACCTTGGAGATCTTGGTGTCTTAGAAGCTGTGGAATTATTACAAGGGCTTTCCATATCCATTATGCTCACAAAGCATCTTGGTTTTCCACATCACAAGCTCCTACAGAAATGACAACCCTCTTCTCAAATTTTTTTGTTTTTCACTAGAGGCCAGGTGCACTAAATTCGTGCATTCGGAGGGGAGGTCCCTCAGCCTGGCCTGTGCCCTCTCACAGTTTAGGAGCCCTTGGGGAATGTCTGACTGATGGCTTAGGCCCGCTCCTCTGGGCCTAAGCCGTCAGTCGGACATCCTTAGTGCTGCAGCCACCGCTGTGCTCACCAGCTGTAAGCCCAGCTTCTGGCTGACCGGTGCTCCCCCTGTAGGATTGGGCCAAAAACAGCTCTCCCACAAACCCCAAGGAGTCCCGGATTGCAACAGGGTGCAGGCCAGGCCAAGGGACCCCACTGGTGCATGATTGAGGCCGGGAGAGATGTGGGAGGTTGGCCAGCCGGGGAGGGACTGCAGGAGGGCTCCAGGGCGTGTCTGGCCCCTCTCGCTCAGTCCCAATGGGCCGGACCCCAGCAACAAGCTAACCTACTGGTCAGAGCATCTGCTCCCTGGTGGTCAGTGCATGTCATAGTGACTGGTCCACCAGTTGACTGTCTGGCCCCTGGTGGTCAGTGCATATCATAGCGAGCAGTTGAGCCACCTTAGCATATCATTAGCATATTACACTTTGATTGGTTGAACAGCCAACCGGTTGACTGGACACTTAGCATATTAGGCTTTTATTATATAGGATATATTTACCTATTTGTTTCCTATTTAATATCTGTTTTATTTCTGCTCATAAAACATTATCTTACTTTGAACTAGTCTTTATCTTATTTTTATGGGATATTTGCATTTTGTCAAAATCACTTTGATGTTTTTTATCACAGATACTAACAAGGTCATTGTAATTGGTGTCATTTGTAGGTTGTGAGTCCTCTTAACTTGCTCATTCTAGTCATTAATAAAATAGTAAATGTGCAAACATTGTGGTCTCAGCTATATATCAGATACGAGTCACACCTAAAATTCACATTGTGTGTCATCACCCTCTTTTGATGGCTACTTCCGAGTCTTACCTATTCTTAACTGAATCCTAATCCTGATTTCCTATACTTAGCTTGTTGATACGTAAACTATTTGGGGTCAAATGGATAAGTCTTACTTTTATACATATTACAATAAATCCATCTCTTCTCATAGGAGATGAGAGGAAGACATCTGCAAAAGGAGCTAATGGTCCCTTCACTTGGCACAAACATCAATAGTGAAATGAATAATGTCTGACCCCTTTTAGAGGCACTTAAGCATTTTCACTTTTTTTTTTTCTGTAGAAGAGATCGGAAATCTATGAGAGACCACCTCTGAGGTACAAAGAAACTTCTATGTCAGCGGTTCTCAACCTGTGGGTCGCGACCCCTTTGGGGGTCGAATGACCCTTTCACAGGGGTCGCCTAAGACCATCGAAAAACACATATATATTTACATATTGTTTTTGTGATTAATCACTATGCTTTAATTATGTTCAATTTGTAACAATGAAATTGGGGGTCACCACAACATGAGGAACTGTATTAAAGGGTCGTGGCATTAGAAAGGTTGAGAACCACAGTTCTATGTTGTTGGAGTAGTGGATTAATGGTCGCCACCTTCCAGCTAGTAAAGTCTCAGAGATCTGTGTATTTAATATCTATAAGTGGTAAAGCCAAAAAGAAGGAAGAAGAGGCTCAGGGTATCAAGGCTGTTGTCTCCTTCAGGCTTGGAGGATTTTAGCTTTTTCTTCAGGGATGTCTCCTGACCTAGACATTCCTTTGATGTTTGCCATTGTCTGGGGGGAACATGTCAGGGGTTCAACAGGGAGTCTGCTTATATCTCTCTTGGCAAGGGAATTCTCATGTGGCCTGAGAACCAACTCTCAGCCTTAACACCTCTGGACCTAGGGGGCAATGCCAAGTAGAATCCTGGGAATTTGCCTGCCTGGCCTTGAGTTACTTAGGAAATTATCCTTGTCCTCCAGGCCCTGGGATGCCACCGGACACATGTATTCATATTCTCCTAAAAATGGAGACTAAAAATCTTAATAAATATATACACATATTAGAACACATTTTCTCTTTACGTTACTAAATAGAGCGAATGCTTTTGGATTTCTTTATTAATTAATTGGATATACGTTTTCTTATAAGATTTTAAATGTGGCTTTTATAGAGAAAAGGGGTAAAAGAAAGACACTCAGTAATGAATCCCACTGTCTTTTTGCTTACTGGAGACCTTCAGTTACTTAAAGAAGAGTTTCAGATTCCTTTCAGCAGATTCAGTTGGGTATCCATTTTCTAATGGCAGACTCAGTGTAGGGTCGGGGTGGGGACTGGGAAGCTTTTGAGGAACTTAGACCTGAAGTGGGAAGAGAAGCAGGGGAAGAGACATTGGCAAGAGAAGCAGAACACTTAGAAGGCTTTGATACACACTAAGATAGAAATAAAAACATAGGTGGTGGAAGCCAAGAGAAGAGATGAGCAGTTCTGACGAGGCTGTCAGGGAAGGCTGACAGAGACCCAGCAATCTGAGCTGAGCCTTGGGCGTGGCTATGGTTCTACCAGGCAGGCTCCTGTGCAGCAGGACTCGGGCCATACTCCATGCCTGGTCCAGAGTGCATGCTTCCTAAATATAGGGTGCCCCCCAAAATGTACACACACATTTTGAATTATTATAAAGGCAATGTTTCTTAAAGTACATTTCATTTTCAAAATTGAGCTATCAGCTGTTAAAGTGTATATACATTTTTGGGGACACCTGTATTTGTTGAATGGCCTTTCTGGGAAGCCCATGATCTGGGAATGACTCTCATTCCTACCTGTATAACCAGAGTAGGTAGAAGCACTTACCCAAAATAGTTTAGCAAACAATTTCTCTCCCTACTACAAACCCTGGTGCTCAGGGACAAGCAAGGAAGAGAGATCGGTTGACCTAACCAAAATAACTGGTGATGAAATCCAGTGAATGCAATTCCATTTTCTTGACATATTTTGGTATGCCATTTCCAGCTTTTATTATTACTGCTAATAATATAGAAAAGGCAGCCCTAGCTGGTTTGGCTCAATGGATAGAGCATTGGCCTGTGGACTGAAAGGTCCTGGGTTCAGTTCCGGTCAAAGGCACATGCCTGGGCTGCGGGTTTGATCCCCAGCAGGGGGTGTGCAGGAGGCAGCTGATCAATGATTCTCTCTCATCATTGATGTTTCTCTCTTCTCTCTCCCTTCCTCTCTGAAATCAATAAAATAATAATAATAAAAAGGCAAATAGTGAGCCATGATTGACAGGACATTTTAACTGTTCTGAAAGATTCACTTAAGTGTAAAATGCACTATTAAGTCTCTCCCTTACGTCTGGCATTTGTTTTTGAGAACAAATATGTGACAACTAGGGAGGAAGTCTAAGAGAAACTACTTTCAGAATTAAATACTCATTTCTCCCACTAGCATAAAACTAAGGTTTTTCTCAATTGTTCCCTGTTTTCACAACAAATTGCTATAATGGCACAGATCCTGTAGAAACCCAGCAGGCAAACTGAGAAGCTGTTCTTGCCCAGTGCCCGTCAGGACCTGCTTCATTCTCTGGCGCCTACCCACATTCACGCAGGCTCAGCTGCGCCCCAGGTGCTGGCCGCCCTAGGCAACCGGCGTGCTTTAAAAGACTCAGGCGATCCAGCCTCTGCCAGGTGGCTCAGTTGGTTGGAGCAACGTCCCTTACACCAGAAAAGGTTGTGGTTCGATTCCCGTAAGGGCACATGCCTAGGTTGCAGGTTCCATCCCATTCCGAGCATGTATGGGAAGCAAGCAATTGAAGTTTCTCTCTTACATTGATGTTTCTCTCTCTCTCTCTCTCTCTCTCTCTCTCTCTCTCTAAATCAATAAAAAAAATTATCCTCAGTGAGGACTGAAAATAAAGTAAAATAAAGGACTCAGGCAATTCAACACAAGGATAGTAGCTTGTCTGGTTCTGAGAGTGTGTTCCACTTCTAATCCCTGAGACCACACTCCACTCTGTACCCCACTTCCGGTCTTTGGGAATCGTCCTTTCCTGCCTTGTTGGGAATTCACCCCGATTCTGTATTTCTTGAGGTTTGGGGTTTTACCTTCGTTTTTACATTGGTCCTTTACTCCTTCCCCAGCCCACCTGCCAGGATCCAGAGTCTGGCCTTGGAAGTGAGGCCTGTCACTCCCCAAACAGATGGCTTCTGGAATTCCCCTGGCTAAATGCTGCCCACCCACTGCAAGAAAACCGTCATTTTTCTCCATCGCTGTCTGCTTGGATCACGGCCAGTTTTAAAGAGCGGCACTGTAGCACATGCTTACGGCCCTGGGCCTGGAGGGAGCTTCGTCTGGATTCCAACTCTGACTCAGAGTTTGACTCTGCCACCTCCTACCTGTGTAACCCTGAGCAAATGGCTAAGCCTCAGCTTCCTCACCTGCAAAATGAAGAGGATGGTGGGTAATAACAGTAGCAGCCTCCTCAAAGGACCAGTGGAGGAGTCAGTAACCTGTGTCGCCGAGCTGGCCTTCGGGAGAGCTGGCGGAAGCAGCCTCTCCTGTCTCACTTCCACCTGCACATTTAGCACCGCGGGGTTTGCCCACCGCACCGGAGTTAGGCTTTTTAATTAGCATCGGCTATCGCTCACCACATCCCCTCCTGGTCTAAAAAGAACCGAGTTGCTGTGGCCTGCACGGGACAAATGCCTTGGTGGCGCACAAAGGCCCTGCTGATCTGGCTCCTGCTAGTGTCCCTTTGCTCTGGCCACCCGGACTTGCCACTGGTGCCCAGAACATGCCAAGTGTCCTCAGGTCTCTGGGCCTTTTTCTCCTGCTGTTCCCTCTTTTGGACCAAACCAGGGACCGTTTACTGCCTCTAGTGCCTGGTGAACATGTGTTTCGGCTTTGGAGACTGCTGAAAATCCTCTGCTTTCCGCCCAGTTCTGGCCTGCCCCTTAGTTACACGACCTCACTTGGATGTGTTTACATGTGTGTTTCCCAGATAAACTCTAAACCCCCTGGGGGAAGGAGCAGTGAGTTAATACTCAGTCAGTGCCTGCGCCTGCGCCTGCGCCTGATCATATCCTCACAAGGCAGCACTGTGCAAAGCAAGGGGTGTGGGGATCCTGAGGTTCGCATGTGAAATGTCCCGTCCCGCACAGAGCCGGTGGCAGGACAGGGAGAAGGGGCCCTTTGGATTTTTCTTTATCTTTGCTTCCTTTCCCCCCAATCTCCTCCTTGTTTCATGGCTTGGGTTCAGAAATCAGCATATTTTCCAGTTCATCATTGTAAATGAGAAATTGTAATTGTGTTTGACACCCGCAACATACGTGAGGTGGCCCAGTGCAATCTCTAGACGCAATTTACCTTTTTACATAGAATCTATCGATGTCCATTTGTATCGTAATGTTGTTGCTGGGCTCGGGAAAGGTTTATACACTGAATGCACCTTTTAAAAATGTGACTGTTAAATTCCTACTCTGAGATTAAGCACATAGAAACACCATCAAAATGCCTGCCTCTTAATGACCTAAACAGCTCACAGTGGCGAAGGGGCAGCTCAGCTGTGTTTTTAGGAATATGCACTTCCTCTGCTTTGAAATAATGACCAATAAGAGACATCTTCGCAAGTTTCGATAAAGAAAACAAGATGTGTTTTATATCTGAACCATCAGCATGTTCCCGTGAGAGGCAGGAAGTATGTATTTTGTGCAGGTGTCAATCTGTTCTACCAGTTAATTCCCCGGGTATTTGCACAGTACATGGGTCATGCAGATTTCCTTTAAGACAAAATTAAAAAACATTTCCTCTACCCTAAACAATGGTTCATATGAAAGCATGCCATTTTTTTGTTGTTGTTTCCTGAACTCATTGAAAAGGCGTTTAAACTATTTTAAACATTTTAATCTTTGATTGAGTAGTTGACAAAATATATGATGAAAGGATGTCAGTTTTATTAAACTTGGGTTGCCAGGAAAGAAGCTAAAGGGTGAGGTTAGATTGGCGGTGTAGGGCTCCTCCTCCGCATTTTAGTGCAGCTTGAGGGCTGTGATGAAGGACAGGAGAGAGGTGACACTGGAGAGTGGAGAGGAGAGAAAACATGTCTGGAGTGTGGAAATTTTGCTCATTCAGTTAAAAAATAGTGTATGTAGGGGCTTCCAGTGATTCCAGGTATAGGAGTCAGTGGCAGGTCATTGCCAACCCCTTTGTGACCATATCGTTTTTCTTCCAAACTTGGGCATTTCGAGGCATGAATGGGGACACTACTAATAGTTACTCAGGGCTGGCCAGTAGTAACTGGTTTATGTGGGACAACCTAGGACATATGAACACCCCCCTCCTATGTCACCACGTGGCTCTGGGCTTGCAGTTGGCTGTAAGCCCAAGTGGCCTCAAGGGATGGAGGACCATTGAGCATGCTTGGTTTGGGAACCCTCTATGGCAGTGGTTCTCAACCTTCCTAATGAACCCTTTAATACAGTTCCTCATGTTGTGGTGACCCCAATTTCATTGTTACAAATTGAACATAATTAAAACATAGTGATTAATCACAAAAATAGTAACTATATAAGTGTTTTCTGATGGTCTTAGGCGACCCCTGTGAAAGGGTCGTTCGACCCCCAAAGGGGTCGCGACCCACAGGTTGAGAACCGCTGTTCTATGGTGTTTCAAAACTCTCCGGTTTAAATGGGCCTGACTCCCCAAGTATTTTCCTGGCAGGAAGAACATCTGGAGCTACTATAAAGGGTGACTCATCTATTATCTTTGGATGAAACCATCTAAGGTGTATATCTTTAAGCCAATCTTGGGTACAATTACTTCTAAACCTGACCTCACAAATGTAATCACTGGTGAGCTCTGAAAAACAAAGACTCTTAGGCCCCATCTCCAGAAGTGCTAATTTAGTAGATCTGTAATGGGCCCAGGCATCAGTATTTTTAAAAATTCTTTAGGTGAGTCAGCTGCTCAGCCAAATTTGGATTTGTAAAGATGCTACGAGGTTTTAAAAAGGCTGCAAATGTCAAATCTTCAATAAGAAGATTAGAAATTGAGCACCAATGTGAGAAGAGAGAGTTTTAGAGAACTGGAATATGGTCCATAATTTAATTGTACTTTTTATGGGGCCCAAACAGGGGGAGCTTGTATAAAAAATATGCCTCTTATTTTGCCCAAGCCTTGTTTACTGGCTCAGGAACAACTGGAGGCATTAGAGGTGAGGTATTTTTTTAACTAAACACTGAAGGTTATAACGTTTTAACAGGCAGCAGAATTTGGTAAAGGAATTTCAGCAAAAGTTTTCAAAGGAAACTGCATGAAGGAGGCAAGCAGATAGCCATCAACTCTGGGTGGTGCTCCTATCTATCT